TTTTTTTTCAAATTTTTTTTTTTTTTTTTTTTTTTTTTAAAATAGGTTTCACAAATATAAGACAAAAAATAGTAGTAAAAAAATATTGAACTTATAAAATTGAATGAAAAAAAAAAAAAAAAATTAAAAAGAATTTCCTAATATTAATCAGAATAATATAATTTTAAATAAAAGAAAAACATTTTATAATTTTATTTCATTTTCATTTTTTTTTTTTTTTGTTTTTTTTATTTGTAAACTCAAACTAATATAAAATATAAATTTAATAGGATTAAAATAAAAAAATATAAAAAATTGGACAGAATTTTAAAAATAATCATAATAAAATAAAAAGAATAAGTAAATATAGAATTCTTTTTGAATATAATTGAAGAAGAGCTTTATAATTTTATACAAATATAGAAAAGTAATCGCAAGTAAAAAACTCTATAAAAGTTAAACTAAAACTAAAACATATATATTTTCAAAATGGAAAATAAAGTAAAAACTCAAAATGAAGAAAATTTAGAATTCATAAAAAAACATATTGGATATGCTTTAGCTAAATCGTTATTGTTAACAATGAAAACAGATAAAGATAGTAAGTAAAATTTATAACATTTTCCTAGATTATTTCATCTATTGTTTTGATTTTCTTAAAAAATTATTTTTATATTTTGTTACACTACTAATTTTCTAATCATTATAATTTTTACATTGTTTTTTTATTTTACCTTTTTTGTATTTTTAAAAAATCTTTAAGATCCGTTAATTCTTATAAGTAAATATCTAAAGAATTTTGCATCTTTTAATGAACAGAAAAAAAAGAAAAAGAAAATTCTAATAAGGAAATTGCATTCAAATAATATTAAAATACATGAAGAGATAAATAAAAATTTTAGTAAAAAATTAGAAAAAGACTTGTATAATTTTGCTAGTTATGAAGAGAACATTGAATACGAAAATTTTCCAATATTATTAAATTTAATTAAAAATGTTTTTAATATAGAAAATGTTTATATGGGTAAAGTATACAAAATAAGAGAAAATAATAAAAATGTAACTATTCTAAAGTTTATCTATTCCAGTGAAAATTGTGATATAAAAAATGAAGTATTACTGAATGAAAAAGAAATCAAAAATATATTTTTATCTATTGAAAAACAAAAAGAAGAAAACTTTTATTTTGAAAAAAATTTTCTTTTTCCAAATATCATAAAAGAAAAGTTTGTTTATGATAATTTAAATTGCAGTTTATTTTCTAATATTAACCCCTTATATGAAAATAAAAGTTATTTAAATAGAATACAATGTGACAAAAAATTGACCAAAAAAAAAAAAGTTAAAAATGGAGATAATAATAAAAAGGATGAAGGCGTTTATGAAAATTACGATTCGAAGGATCATCATTCTGAGAATAGTATTATAGAAGGAAATGAAAAAAGTGATGAAAAAGATAGAAGTGAAGAAAATGATAAAAGTGATGAAAAAGATAAAAGTGATGAAAAAGATAAAAGTGATGAAAATGATAAAAGTGATGAAAATGACAAAAGTGATGAAAATGAAAAAAGTGATGAAAATGTAAAAAGTGATGAAAATGACAAAAGTGATGAAAATGATAAAAGTGATGAAAATGACAAAAATGATGAAAATGAAAAAAGTGATGAAAATGTAAAAAGTGATGAAAATGATAAAAGTGATGAAAATGACAAAAGTGATGAAAATGTAAAAAGTGATGAAAATGAAGACGAAAATGACGAATCTAATGAAAATATAGATAAATATAAAAATGAAAATGATGTAACTAATGAAAATATAATTAATAAAAAACATAATGAAGATATATATAAAGATGATAATAAAAATGAAAATGATGAATTAACGGGTAAACAGAAAGAAAAGGAAATAGAATATGAAAATAAAAGAGAAAATTCTGAAAATTATCTACTTAAAATTCTCAACATGAATCTTACATATAAGTGTATATATATTTATGAAATATTAGAAAAATCAGAATTATTTTTATATTCCTATATGAAACCTGGAGATTTTTTATGCATTCCTATAATTTTTTACACATTCTATAATTTTCATTTTTTGAGCGAATTATATTCCTTTAAAAAATATCTTTTTTTTAATTCAAAAAACATAGATGATCAGAATTGTAAAGAAAATTTTATAAATGGTATATTCATATGTAAAAAAAATAAAAGAAAAATATTTAAAATTTTAGAATAATAAAAAATATAAATAAAAATTTCACGTAATAAAATATTTTAATTTAAAAATTAAAATTTCAATCGTTTAATATATTTTAAATAATATAATTTTTATATTATTCAATTATATTTTAATTATGTCTTTTTTTATTTTTTTTTTTTTCATCAATTTTATTAAAGATATAAAAAAAAATAATGAACCCCATTTAAAGAGTAAAAACGATGATATTTTAGACAAAGAAAACCAAAAAGATACAGAAGAAAAAGATGAAAAACTGAATGAAGAAATAAAAATAGAAGAAATAAAAACAGAAGAAATAAAAACAGAAGAAATAAAAACAGAAGAAATAAAAATAGAAGAAATAAAAATAGAAGAAAAAAAAACAGAAGAAAAAAAAACAGAAGAAAAAAAAAAGTTCATAAGACCAAAATTTGATTTTAAAAATGGAAAGAAAGTAGAATTTTGTTTATGCTTAGATAACAGAGGAAGCATAAATAAAATAAACAAAAATCAGATTAATAATCTTATAAATTTTTCCTATTTTTTAATTACACGAATTTTTTTATCAGAAAAAAAATGCATTGAAGAACAAGTTAGAAAATATATCTAAACAAATTTTTTATTAAGGTAAAATAAAATTTTCTTTTTTATATACATAGGTTGATTATATGATTAAATGCGAATATGGAGAAGAAAAAATTTTGATTGAAAAGTTATGTAACAAAATGGAAGACAATATTTCAGAAAATATTATAAATAAATTTAAAAATAATTTAGTAGATCATTATTATTTTAGCAAATCAAATAATTTAATTAAATATGTATCCTTGTTTCAATGGATACAAAAAAAAATTTTAAAATACCAGGAAAAAATTTTTGATATTAGTATAACAAATTAAAGAAATAATAATAATTTTTATACTTACAATTAAATTTAACAAAATAAAATAAAAATGTATAAACAAAAAATGTTATAAAAAAATATATTTTTTACTTTAGGAAAAATAAAGATTGAATGCAACAAAACATTTTTATTGGCTTTGTTTGGTTCCTATATAATATTAGAATATGATTATTCTGATTTTATATTTTCAAAAAATATACTGGATTATGAGTGGAGAAAATTAATCTTATACATAGATCAACAATTTATAGATAAACTAATTTCATTTAATCCTGTTACATTTTTTCAAGGTTGGTTATTAAAAAAAATAATTTATAATATTCTTATATAAAATGAAAAATTTATATAACATTAAGGCAAAACATTTATATAATATTTATAATTTATTTAATATTTTTCTTTTCAAATGCTAAATCTTTTTAATCATTTTGAAGAAAAAGAAATATACAAGTTACAAGAGATAAATCATTTAATAAATAAATTATCGTTAAATAATAAAAGTTATCCACCTGAAATGGAAAATATCACAACATACGGAATAATTTTATTAAAGTTTTTCTATCAAGTAATAAGAAAATATATATATTTATATGTTTCTTTATATATATATATAAATATATATATATATATATATATATATATATATATATATATATATATATATTTATGTAGATAACAATTAATATTTTAAATGAAGTCTTAAAGATTAAAGAAAATGAAGTTTCTTTATAAAATAATAGTATATATATAATGTGATAATAAAAATATATATTTATTAAAAGCTAACACATGTATTAATATTTTATTCTAACAAATTTAAATTTAGCAAAACTATTTTTTATTTTTGATAGTAATACTAATAATTTTTTTTTTTCTTATATTTTTAAATCTATTTTTTAAAATTTATACAATAAATATAACTTATTACCATTTATAATTTGTCTTATTTTATATATAAAATTTTTTTTTTTTTTTTTTCTAATCTTTTGAAAAAGCATATTAAATACATGATATAGAAAGATGTGTTTTTTAAGTAGAAACTTCTAATAAAATATAAAGTATCATTTAAAAAAAAAAAAAAAAAATTGAAAATTTTATGTCTTTTAAATAAATTTCTTTTTAATATAAAAAAAAGAATTTTTGGAAAAAATGTAGTTATTATCCTTGTTATTTCCTTCATTTTTTAAACAATTTATTTTAAAAATAAATTATATAATTTTTCCTTATATATAATCCAATACATTTAAAAAAAAATATATTTATATAAATTTCCTTTATATAATTCCTACTTAATAAAATACTAAAATCATAAGTAATAAAATTTTTATTTTTATAATTTTCCACAACATTAAAAAAACATTGAATGTTGAATTGAAAAAAAAAAAGAAAAAAGAAAAAAAAAAAAAAAAAAAAAAATTTTTT